TGCCACCTGCCGGCAGAACGAATCAGCGAATCGGGTATCCCTGCCATGGCGGCGGTAGTAGCTACGCCAATTCGGAATGAGTGTCCCGAGTAGAGTTCGATGTTTGGCACCGCAGCCTTTTCGAGCAGCAAGCGCACAGTACCGGTGAAAACAGCTCTGGATAACGGCACACCCTTGGCAAGTACATACAGAGGAGTGGATGCGTTTCGACTGCCAATCATCGCCAGGTAGCATACCATAGCATACACCGGGCAGTAAGGGCGACCGGCCGGTCCAATGATAATGTGGACTCCCTTTCCAAATTGGTCTGTCTTTGATCTCTTTAGCAGGATGGTCATGCTGCCCGACTCAAATCTGATACACTCTCTTGTAAGGCCCTCTGTAAATTCGGAGCACCTTAGGAAACCAAAGCCTGCCAACAGCACAGCAGACTTGAAGAGAACTCGGTCATGCTCGGGCAACACGGGGAGGTGATCACAGGCATCGTCTAATTTCCTTAGAGTTGGCATAGTTATGGGCAATCTAGCTTTACTGTCTCGGTCCCATGGCACCGTTGCACACCCTTCAACACTCTCTTGAGAAGCCAGGTCTCGATCAGGGGATCCTCTAGACCCTGTTCAATGTGTGCATTCCGTACAGCTTGCAAATAAACAGATATCGTGCAAGGGCGGACAGAGCGAGCAAGAAAAGCGCAAAAGCAGCTGAGGGTAAGATCAGAAGCTGGGTAAGGTTGCAGATTGCAAAGGGAGCAGAAACTGACAAAACGACGCTCACCGGCAGAGTAGGTGTGTCTGGTATTAGCAGCAATTGCACAGGCAGCGTACTTAGTGACTTCGCTCACAAGACTGCTGGAAGACGAGCACGGTCTGGACTCGGCCGGGCTAACGGAGCATGACGTCGAAATCCTGCATAAGAAAACGAGAAAGGCAATCTGCAATGACATTCTTGGAGCCAGCAATATGCACAGCGCTAACATGAAAGTTGAACTCATAGCAAACGAAGAACAGTTCGCGTAGCAACTTCATCACAGCTGGGGCTTTGCACGTGCCCGAACGGATGCAGTCCACTATCGCCGAGTTGTCGCAGTGTACCCGAATCCGGAGCTTAGCCCATTCGTCGCCCCATGTGGCGCAGGCTGCTACGAGGGCAAACAGCTCCTTCCACTTGATAGACTGCAGCATCTCGGCACTGTTTCATGAACCTTGAATCCACTTCCCCGTTGTTGTAAGCACCCCAGCCGTGAGTGCCACTTGCATCTGTGTATAGCTGGAGATCTGGTGATGGGGTCCAGTTAGGGTGCAAGAAGAACTTCCCGTTCCACTTACTAAGTAGCCTCATCCACCATAGCAGGTCATCCATGCATTCTTGGGTCCAAGTTATTGAGTAGTGTGGTTGCTGAAACCGTGAGCAGACGGACCACAGACGACGCATGAAGGCACGGCCTGGAGTGATGACACGGGCAGCAAACGAGAGCTTACCCAATAGGGACTCGAGTTGGCGTTGGGATATCTTCCGGCTGTTGATCGTGCTGGCCAATAGCGATCGGAGGTCGGTGAGCTTGTCCATGGGGAGCCTGGCCTCGAGCCGCTCGCAGTCCAGAATAATGCCGAGGAACGTCAGTGATCTCGCGGGACCTTCCACCTTTGCTGGCGCTAGCGGCACGCCCAAATAGATGAAGGCCCGCAGCAGGATTGCTAGTTGACGCTGGGCAACAGTATGGCCAGTTGTGACGTTTAGGAAGTCGTCCAAGTAGTGGAATAGGTCGGCAATGGAGAAATGGTTCCGGATAATCCACTCTATGGCCGAGGCAACAGAATCGAAAATGGCTGGGCTGGAGCGAAGCCCAAACGGTAGCACCCGCTCGTAATAGTAGCTGCCTTGCCAGAATATGCCGAGTAGTAGCATGCGCTGGCAATGTGATTGCAGTGAGCAAAAGTTCAAAGGAAGCAGTTGTGTGACGTCAGGCTAAGCGTGCCCAAATCTATGCGCTGGCAGTGTGAGTGCAGTGCGCAATGCACTAATGCAGCGGTGCGCGGCAGATGCAAACATGGCAGTGTGATCGGTGGATGCTAACACACACTAACTACATTACTGCGACATTAGCACCATATCCCTCACACGCTCATACTCAGCCCAAGGCAACAAGAAATTGTTCTGGAGAAAGTGTGCTGCTACGAGTAACTGGTCTTGTAATGCAAAAGCTCGAAGAGCTGGAAAACAATGCCAGGCCACTGGCAGCAACTGGCTCGCGAGGAGCCGCAATAAACCCACATTGTGCCACAATGGGGTTGCAAGGCAAAGCCAATGCAATCGGCAACAACTGGCTCGTAAAGAGCCGCAACTAGCGAAGCAAGTGACCAGTTAGGAGCGATAGAGCTCCACAAAGCAGCAACACTATCCCCGAACCACCCCCCAGCATTTTAAAAGAAATTATCGAGCAGTGACATTCCTATGCTAGGACTTCAGGGATGGAACATAAACTGTCCGTGCAAAGAATCAGATAAGGTCACTCACTGAGGCAAGCTGAGCCGAGATCTTGGACTTGGTCTCCATTGGAATTCGCATATAGCGTAGACACACATTGCTCTGCCACCTGCCGGCAGAACGAATCAGCGAATCGGGTATCCCTGCCATGGCGGCGGTAGTAGCTACGCCAATTCGGAATGAGTGTCCCGAGTAGAGTTCGATGTTTGGCACCGCAGCCTTTTCGAGCAGCAAGCGCACAGTACTGGTGAAAACAGCTCTGGATAACGGCACACCCTTGGCAAGTACATACAGAGGAGTGGATGCGTTTCGACTGCCAATCATCGCCAGGTAGCATACCATAGCATACACCGGGCAGTAAGGGCGACCGGCCGGTCCAATGATAATGTGGACTCCCTTTCCAAATTGGTCTGTCTTTGATCTCTTTAGCAGGATGGTCATGCTGCCCGACTCAAATCTGATACACTCTCTTGTAAGGCCCTCTGTAAATTCGGAGCACCTTAGGAAACCAAAGCCTGCCAACAGCACAGCAGACTTGAAGAGAACTCGGTCATGCTCGGGCAACACGGGGAGGTGATCACAGGCATCGTCTAATTTCCTTAGAGTTGGCATAGTTATGGGCAATCTAGCTTTACTGTCTCGGTCCCATGGCACCGTTGCACACCCTTCAACACTTTCTTGAGAAGCCAGGTCTCGATCAGGGGATCCTCTAGACCCTGTTCAATGTGTGCATTCCGTACAGCTTGCAAATAAACAGATATCGTGCAAGGGCGGACAGAGCGAGCAAGAAAAGCGCAAAAGCAGCTGAGGGTAAGATCAGAAGCTGGGTAAGGTTGCAGATTGCAAAGGGAGCAGAAACTGACAAAACGACGCTCACCGGCAGAGTAGGTGTGTCTGGTATTAGCAGCAATTGCACAGGCAGCGTACTTAGTGACTTCGCTCACAAGACTGCTGGAAGACGAGCACGGTCTGGACTCGGCCGGGCTAACGGAGCATGACGTCGAAATCCTGCATAAGAAAACGAGAAAGGCAATCTGCAATGACATTCTTGGAGCCAGCAATATGCACAGCGCTAACATGAAAGTTGAACTCATAGCAAACGAAGAACAGTTCGCGTAGCAACTTCATCACAGCTGGGGCTTTGCACGTGCCCGAACGGATGCAGTCCACTATCGCCGAGTTGTCGCAGTGTACCCGAATCCGGAGCTTAGCCCATTCGTCGCGCCCATGTGGCGCAGGCTGCTACGAGGGCAAACAGCTCCTTCCACTTGATAGACTGCAGCATCTGGGCACTGTTTCATGAACCTTGAATCCACTTCCCCGTTGTTGTAAGCACCCCAGCCGTGAGTGCCACTTGCATCTGTGTATAGCTGGAGATCTGGTGATGGGGTCCAGTTAGGGTGCAAGAAGAACTTCCCGTTCCACTTACTAAGT